AATAACCTTCATAAAAAAATTACGGTAAAAAAACCTTTATAAAAATGGTAAAAAGCTTTATAAAAAAAAAAAAAAAGTGCAAAACTATGCTCCTTCAATTCTATTGATTCTTTAACTAAAGGATGGGTACCTTTTGCGTTTTAATGGAACACAAGCATAGTTCCGATTAGAGAATCATCTGGCCCAAATTAGAGCATCAAGAGTTGCTTTCATGGAATTAAAATAAAGGAGATGTTCTACTTTATTGATTACTTCATCTTTAAAAAATTTTTTTTAAAGTAATTATTTAAATTTTTGTTTACTGATTACTGATTATCAGTAAATTGTTTCTAATTAATGAGTGATTATAAATTTAGTAATTATTATTATTCAACTTGTAGTAAACTAATTATTTTATAAATTTAAAATATAATCTTTTTTTTCTTTTTCTTTTTTTTTTGGTGAATCAAAGTTTTATTATAATAAGAAGTACAAGAGGTACTCTACTCATAGATACAAAGTCATGTTACATGAAAGCTTCTGCAGAAATAGTCCAAAAGCACAAAAACATAACTCAAAGTGGGGCTGAAATTATGAACATCAACACTACCTTCTAGTAGTTTCTTGCGCACATAAAGAGCCCCATGTTTAATCCGTTATCAAAAATTTAACATTCCATTTTTTTAATGAATATGGTTCCATCCAATTTAAGATTTTTCCTCTTATTTTGGTAAGCTGAAGGGAAGACATGATAATGAATGAGTTTAAGGAGTTAATTGCAAAAGGCTTATAAATTTGGGGCCTAGTTCACAGGTTTCTTATTTTAGGCGATGACTTTCCCCTTTGGCAAGATTTTTTTCATTTTTTATTTGATACCTGTTTGGCAAATTTTTGTTAAGTACTTTAAAATAAAATCCAATGGGTAATTTTTTGTTATATTGCCAATGAAACTTGTAATTTGTACAAGGTGCACTTATTAAATAGAGATGGTCTACTGTTCTCCTTTCTCTTTTAAAAGCATTAAATATTACTCTATTTGTTCATTTTTAATAGTTATAATTTAATTTTTAGTTTTTTGGATAAAAATTTAATTAACTTTATGAATAATAGTTAAAAAGTTTTTTTTTTCTATATGAAGTAATTTTCAAGTGTTTTTATTTAATTTTAAAAAATTTCAATTATCAATTATATAATATATTAAATTATTATTTAAAATTCATGTCTAAAAAGTATAAAAGTCAAATTAGATCTACTAAAAAAGAACAAATGAAATAGTATTTTAATTTTACCATATTTGGATGAAATAAGAAAAAATTGTTAAGGCTTTTTTGGTTTAATTATGAATAAGTTTGAAATTTTTAAATGTTGGTATTTCAATTTTACCTAATCTAAAATGAAATGAAAATGCATTATAGTTTTTTGATTTAATTATGAGTTGGGCGAAAATAAGAAGATAAATCTAAATTATTGTATTTATTGAGAATCTTGGTAATCTTGAATGGATAATATGGAACAACTAATTAAAGGAGTAAAAGGAATTTTTTGATTTGTGTTTTCAGAAGATAAAGGTGCATTTATTATACCATTTTACCACTATTTTATATGAAAAAATTATAAAAGTTGATTTTAGTTTTATGAATTTTCCAATTAAAATGTTTCACATAGCATTGATATTGAAAATAAAATTTTCTTTTACAATTTTTCATATAAATTAATGGTAAAAATGATAATAAATACATTCTTAATATATACTCTTAAAATACAAATTAGAAAACCCAATATAAAATGAGTTAGGATCCACTTACACCCAACTTTTACACCCAACTTTTACACCTATCATTTACATAAAATCTTGACCATTCATCTCTCCATTATGAATTGTTGATATTTATCTACTTTTTATCTTATTTTTTAAAGATGATTTTTTTTAATCTAAAAAGTTTTAGTAAATCTCAACCATTCATAGTGTACAGATAAATGGTTAAAATTTTTATGTAAGTGATGTATGTAAAAGTTATGTGTAAATGGATCATAACTAATAAAAAAAAGTGAATATTAGTTCTGACACTATGAAATCCTAATTTAAAAAAACCATCATCCAATGAATATTTTGAAAATCAATTATTCAATTTATTGTTCCATCTGTATAGATCATGCATGTTAATTTTTAAATTAATTAAATATATCTAATTAGTTAATTGATTATATAAAATTTAACACTATTAAATATATGTTAGAACATTAAATATAATAGTTAAGCTTTCAAAATATTCATTGGAAGATAGTGTTTTTGATGTGGAACTTCATAAAGTTAGGACTAATATGTACCATTTTATGTGTGTGTATATTGAGGAGGGATCCATTTACACACAAAGTTTATACACTTATACAAAATCTTAACAATTCATTTTTCCACTTTTAATTGTTGAAATTTGTCATGACTTTTTAAGTAAAAAAGAAAATTATCATTAATAAATGTGAATAAATTTTAATAATTGAAAGTGAAAAGATGAATAATTAAGATTTTATGTAAGTATAATGTGTAAAACTTGTGTGTAAATAAATCACTGCTCTATATAATTAGTGTCTATCTATTTGTATGTAAGGGGATCCATACTCGATATAATTAATATCTATCTGTCATACATTTTAAAAATTAGAATGAAAATTATTTTAAAATTATATTGTTTAAATAGTTTTATATTAAAAAAAAACCAAAATAGTTTCATTCAAGCTTTGAAAATAGAATATTTTAGTTTTTTTAATAGAAAGTTATTGAAATAATGTAGTTTTTGAGTAATTATTCTTGTAATTTTTATGAGACGAGGCATATGGACACTTTTCCATATGTATAGAGAAGAAGATATTAGCATTTATCAACTAGACCTCTAAAATATTAAGTAAAAAAAACAACAAAATTACATTATTTTATTAAACACCTCAAAAAACAATCAAAATTGTCTCATTATTGCTTTAAAAATATGTTACTTTAGTATTTTTCAATGTTAGATTATTGAAGTGACATAATTTTTTTTTATTAATTTTGTGACTAGAACACAACAATGATATGATAAATAGATAAAAAAGAATGTTCAAGGACCAGCAAATTATACACATTATTTTTTTAAATTAATATAATATTTATAATTTTTTGATACAAAAAACTCTATTTATTGATACATATTTAACAGTATTAAATTTTTTATAATTAATGAACTAATTAGGCTAATTAGATTGATTCAAAAATTAACGTATATGATCTATTTGAATAAATTTTTTTAAAATATTAATGAAATATAACGTTTTTGAAGATGTCCTCTAGGAAGAAGTCTTGCAAAATACTTTTCTATATGTATAAAATGTGTTCATCTGCTTAATCTTGAAAAAATTAGGAGAAAAAAAATATCTTATGTCATTTTAATAATTTCTTATTAAAAAGATTAAAATAACTTATTTTTAAAGTAAGAATGTGAGGTTTGTTTTTGTTATGTTTTCTATATGTATAAAATGTGTTCATCTGCTTAATCTTGAAAAAATTAGGAGAAAAAAATATCTTATGTCATTTTAATAATTTCTTATTAAAAAGATTAAAATAACTTATTTTTAAAGTAAGAATGTGAGGTCTGATTTTGTTATGTTTTATTGAAACAACATAATTTTGATGTGTTTTTTCTTCTTAAATTTTTAGTAGTTTGATAGATAAATATTAATTTATATATATGAAAAAAGTACATATCAGTTCTAACTTTTAAAATAAATTGAAGTCTCAATCTTAAATGAGGAAATTTTATTTAATTAAAAATCAATTCAAAATTAAAAAATCTACTTTATTTAATGTTGAGATCTACATTTGGAAACTGCTTATATTAAAATATATGATAGGAAACTATAATTGGTTTCCAAATCTAGTTATCAATATTTCAATGAAGTGGATTTTCAAATTTTAAATTGGGATTTCAATTTTCAAATATAGGTTGGGACTTTAATTTTTTACTAAGAATCGAAACTAATATACACTATTCTTTATATATATAAGGAGAGATTCATTTATTCACAAGTCTTATAAACCACACTTATATAAAATTTTAACCATTCATCTCGCCACTTACTCACATGTGGATCCTTCCTCATATATATATATATATATAATAGTGCACATCAGTCTCTAATTACACCAAATTGTAGCCATTTAATTTTCACTATTAATGACTGAGACTTCCTATAACTTTTTGGATTAAAAAAATAATTAACTTAAAAAAAAAAGATAAAAAGAAATAAATCTCAACAATTCATAATAGTTGAAATTTTGTATAAGAGTTACGTATAAAACTTATATGTAAGTTGATTCTAACTTTAGAATTTGAGTGGATATACTGACCAACCACCAATACAAGTTTGCTTGTATTAACTCATAACATATAATGATATAAGTGTGTACTAACCAATCATTATTAACAATACAAATTTAAGTTTTTGAGGGTCACATGGATCGCAATGTGAAAAATTACTAGGCCAGTAGGGTTTGGCCTGGGTTGCAGTATAACCAAATGTCTCTAAAATGGCTTAATAATAATAATCAACAATGTTAAGAAAATAATTGAATACTTTTAGTATAAGTGAATATTTCAAAAATAGTTTAACAATAATAGACACCTTTAGTTCTGCAATATTTTTGGAATTACTTATGAAATCTAATATATTTTAATACTTTCTCTGTTTTTATTTTTATTTGTGGTCTACTTTGATTTATGTGCATATAATTTTAAATAATACTTATAAGTTATATAAATGACATTTAATTTTTTTTATACATCAATTTTGTGAAGTAATTTTATTTAATAAAAAATTTAATTACCATTCAAATATCATATAAAAATATTAAGGAAAAATTCAAATGCAAAAAATCAAACCAACAGATAAAGGATGGAGTAAAATAAATGACTGTTTTAAATTTGCAATATTCTAAAATGCTTAATCATACTTAAAAAAGAAAAAAAGCATTTTCCTAAGTTTCAAACATTGCTTGGAGGCTGTTAAGTACTGTTCACAAAAAACCAAAAGGAGCTAGGTGGCACACGGAAAAAAACAAGGACACATGTCATAGCTAACACAATTTGTCTGTATCCAATTTCTGCTCCGAAACAATTTACAGGCGGTTACCAAATATGCCATCGTTGGTTTGACCTGCGAATGGACTTTTTTGGCCAACCATTAACGCTGTTGGGATAGGGTCCATAGGGATGGGGTTATTGGGACACTCCTAACCATCAATGCTACAATTTTTATGCTGTTTGGGCAATTTTACCTATTTTCAATAACCTTCTGAAAACAACATTCTTCATTTTCGAGTCTACCCTTAACCAAGCATATGACAGGACAAGGCCCAACCCAATTGTTCATATGTATTACATAAAAAAGAGATTTTTTAATTTGTACTGTGAATATATTTTTTATTATAAATATATATAAAAAAATATAAAAGTTGAGATTGATTTTAATATTAA